GTCCACGCGCGCTCGACGCTGAAACCCCCGATCCCCTCCCGCCGCAGCGACAGCAGGTGCGCACCGCAGCCGAGCGCCGCGCCCAGGTCGCGCGCGAGCGCGCGCATGCTGGCGCCGCGGCCGCACTCGCATCGGAAGCCGACGTCGTTGGAGCCGGGCTCGCGCCAGAGGGACAGCGATGAGATAACGGCGGCGCGGGGGGGCAGGGTGCGGGGCTCTCCGCGGTTGGCGTACCAATAGGCGGGGCGCCCGTCGATTTTGGTGCTGCTCCAAACGGAGGGGACCTGTGCAAAGAAAGCGCGGGAAGGGTCCGCATAAATGTCGACCGTGACAGCCATGCAGAAGGGGTTTTCCTGCTCAGCAAAACTACAGCTGCCGGCCACGCAAGCTCAGCAAAGCAACCTCATAGACACAGCCAGCTGCCTTCTTGCCACTGGCGGATCTCCTCTCAAGCCGCAGCGCGGGCGGCGGCGCAGTCCGGCAGCGGCGCCTCCGACCCCCTCCCTAAGCGCGTCAGCCGCCGTCTGGCTCCGCACCTGCATAATTTCGCCCGTCAGCGCCTTCCCGGCAGCTTCCAGGTCTGCGTCCGTCACGTGGCCCCAGGGCAGCCGCTCGATGACATCACCGCTCGCGTCGTCGGTGGCCGTGGTGGCGCCCAGGCGAATCACACCGCTGTAGGCCCGCGGCAGAGGCGCAAAGCGCGGCACGAGCCGCGTCGCGTCGCCTGCAGAGGGGGCAGCGGCGCGCGACACCTGTCAAGGCGTAGCTGGCTCGTCGCAGGCAAGAAAGTGCGCCATTGCAACCGCCAGGAGCGCTGCACAGGGCCGCCTGCGCTGCCGTGGCGCTGCCACAGGCCGCCATCAGACCCCGTCGCCGCCCGCGGCAGCGGGGGGCCGCGAAGAGCGAAACGAAGCTGCCGCGCGCCCCCTCGCCCCCAGCAACCCCACCTAGGCAGATGATCACCAGCCCCGTCGCCCCCTGGTCAAGCGCGCCCGCGTGGCCGGCCCGCTTGGTGCGCACGGCGCGCTTGACGGCCACGGCCACATCGAGCGCGCTCCATTCGAGGGGCTTGTCAACAAGCAGCACGCCGTTCCCGGTTGTCTCTCGCCCCAGGTGCTGCGGCAGGCGGGTGATCACGGTCGGCACGCGCGCGGCCTCGGCGTCACGGCGGCGCTGCAGCAGCGCCGCGCGGGGGCTTTGGGCGGGCTCGCGCGCGGCGCGGGCGGCGCGGGCCTTTGGGGAGGGGAGGGGAGGGGGGGCGTGGCGGTCAGTCGACTTTGCACTGCTCGATTATAAGTGGTGGACAGCGGCCGCTGCAAACTGCAAAGGAGGCAACCAAACAATGCATTCCATCCTGCATGCAGCACGCTGGGACGCAGGCATGAGGCAGGGAGAGTGTGGCTGGGGCGCCGCATGTCAGATCGGGGCGGGCTTACCAGAGCCTGCGGATTGTAATCGTCATCCCATGTCCAGCCGTCGTTGACGCCGGGAACGAGGTAGCCCCCGGCCTCTATGGCCGGCGGCGGCTCAACAGTAATCGGCTGCAGCCCGCCGGGCGCGGGGGCGGGCGCTGCTGCCGGTGACGGCGTGGAGGGCGCGTCAGCGGGACGGCTGCGCCCCTCAGCGCCGCCGCCCCTGCCGGCGCTGCTGCTTCGGCGTCGGCCCCGCTCCTGCTGTGCTACACCGCCGTCCACGCCGGGGTGGGCCGGGAGGGCGCGATGGGGACCCGGTCGCTGCCGAGCCGCGGCGGCGGGCGACCGCGCCCGCCAGCACGAGCACCGCAGCGCACGCAGCGGTGGGGCGCTCGGTCGGTGGCGAGGCCAGGCCCCGGGAGCGGGTGTCAACTTCAGCGCCAGACTGAAGGCGTGCTTGCGTCGGCGTTGCGGCCAAACAACGAGCTGGCAGGCTCGGGGTGACAGATGGCACTACAGATCAGACGGTTTGCTGGTAGCAATATAGAACGGCGCAACTTGCAGCTAAACTCATCATTATTGTCACAGTGCACGCCGAATGCATGGCCTGGACACCGTTGTCGGTGCCACACAGTCTCAAGCTTGCCTGGTTGCCAGCAGTGCATTTTTGTGCATGTCCTAGCCCCGTCCAGCACCCTGCATGCATTAGTCCAACGTAGTCTAGTGCCCGATTTTTAAACTCACCCAGCATGCTTAGCGGCGCGTCCGTAGCGTCGCTGGGGCGAGCGCGCGGCGCGATGCTGCTGCCGCACCGCGCGGCCGCCCTGGTCGCGCAGCGCCGCTTGGCCGCAGCCGCGCCGCTGCCGCTGCCGCGCCTTTGCGGCTGGGCCAGCCCCGCACGCCTGGTCGCCGCGCACGCCAAGGCCAAGCGCAGGCGGCCGCGCAAGGCGGGCAGCGGCGGCGACGCCGACGGCGACGCAGCCGGGGAGCAGCAGCAGCAGCAGGCTGCCGAAGTCTTGGCGGGCAGCTGGGGGGACGACTACGACGCGGGCAGTGACGACGATGACATCATCCTGATCTCACCGAGTGACGACGAGTCGAGTGACGGGGAGGACCGAGCTGAGCTGCGGCGCATCGTGCAGGCGCGCTGCGGCCCCCACTTCCCCCCTGCCCCCGTC